TAATATAATATAATATAATATAATATAATATAATATAATATAATATATATCCCTTTCGGAGGTTAAATGTCATGGATGTAGACATTTATACTGCATTTTCATTATACTTTTTGGCAAATTATTTGACATATGCTGCTGGATTGATGGAAAAATTACTGACTGGATATATTATATGAGAATTTCTGCAAAAGCTTGAAAATGCTATGGAGACATTAAGCAGTTATAAGAATTTAAAATGTCGTTGGCAAGAGCTGCTTTGGGTCTAGGGTGTCCAATCCTATTATTCATCGATAATTGCTTGGTTTCCTCTTCTGATGACCTCCACCCAGATTTTCCTCTCCATCGGTAGACTGAACCATAACACCTCTTGTGCCTTGTCCCCTAAATTGGACTCTTCAGGTGAGGACATTAAAGATGCTGTTCTGGAGTCCAATTATCAGTCCACTTGGTATCATTGTGTCATAAAAGGGCCCTGGTGGTGCAGTGGTTAGAATGCAGTACTGCAGGCTACTTCTGCTGACTGACTGCAATTTGGCAGTTGGAATCTCACTAGACTCAAGGTTGACTCAGCCTTCCATCTTTCTGAGGTGGGTAAAATGAGGACCCAGATTGTTGATGGCAAGATGCAGACACTGTAAAGCACTTAGGGCTGTAAAGCGGTATACAAGTCTAAGTGCTATTGCTATTTCCCTGGGATTCTCCAACATCATGAGATGCCCAAAAGTTCATGGTAGAGCACTTTGCAGCTCATCCTAGTATCTGATTCGATTTGCAATCTCTGATTATATGATACCTATGTCTGTGTTTTAAATGTGTCTTCTTCCAGAAAGTGATCATTTTCTAGAAGACAGATTAAGTGGTGATGGCTCTTCCTCGCAAGGCATCCTTAAGAGAGGATCCGGGAGTGACTCTGAACTCTTTCCTCTCTCCAGTGATGGTCTGGACGAGGTGGACTTTAGAAAGGTAAGATGAAAATTGGACTCAATAGATCTACCTATCTTCTACTGATGTTTGTTTCTTTGGCTGCAAAGCCATATATTCGTTAGTATATTATTTTATTTTATTTTATTGTCATTTGGTTTTTCTGCATGACAATCTCATAAGCTGCTTGTCTCCTCTGGTGATACTGGCAGGAAACCAAGTCAGCTTAAGAAAGATATCACTGTCTACATTTCAGACTTTGGCAACATTGCTAGTCAAGTGTTTTAGCGAGATAGGTAGCTGTCCAAGGTCTTATTGGAATGGGTGGCGACAGTAAATGTAATTTAGTAATAATAGGAATAACTAATGCCCCTGTTTGGTTGATTCCCTTGCTTCTTTACTTCCTTTGATACAAATCAAGGGAAAAATAGGTAGAAGTTACTTTTGTGGTGAGTTACAGATATGTTAAGAATGACATGATGTATTCAGGTCCCCTAGAATCGCTTAAAAAAAATCTCTAAAATTCAGGACAGATAGGTTCATAAAATGAACTCACTGACTATTGAATCTTGCCAGTATAGACTTCTATAGGACTTAGGTATGAAGTATTGGTTTTAAAGAGAGAGAACCTCTCCAACTTAGAAATATTTAATCAGAATGAAGTCTAGTCTACAATGTAATTCATTATAGCAGCAGAATTACCCCACCGGTATTTTTTATTTTACTGCCCAGCTAGCAAGAAAGTGGCTAATGAGGATGGGTTTTGAAGTCCAAGTTCTTGTTCAAAATGGCAGAAATCTGTAGCATTGGTTTTCAGCTGTTAAGATCAACATGGTTTCAGGGAGCAGAAAAGCAATGTTTACATGATTGCCTCTGGCTTTGAGTCTCAGGTTGTCTGCTTTAAGTCAAAGTCTTAATGCAAGATCCCAGAAACCTCCTTCTGAATTTTCTCTTTTCTCACACTAAACATTCACTGTGACAGGCCTATGTTGTGACATGGCCCATCTCAATGAATCACGCAGGCTGAAGTCATTTCCTGCAGTCTGTTTCCAAACTCTTCTGATAAATCTGCCGCTTTCCTTGCTGGATCTTCTAAGGATCTGAATATTTCCACTGCTGAGCCTTTTGCTCAACTCAGAACTCTCCGGATGTCTTGGCAATGCTGGTTGCATCACCGCAAGGCAGCAGCATCTTTTAAAAGTCAAGAGAATCCTGGCAAGCCAAGGGCCACCCTTGCTTTTCTGATCACAGTTAAGCTGCTGAAGTTCTGGCCAAGAAGAAAAACTATTCTGGATGCAAGTCTGGAGGGAAAAGCTGTTTTCCAATTCCTTTAGCCTTGTGTACAAATCTAGGGAGTGCCTAAGAAAAGGGTGAGGCACTGAGAAGAAGAAAAATTCTTGTCTATAAACTTCTGGTTTTGTTTTTTTGAATATTATTCTTATGCAATTTTGAACCCCATCCCCAATAAAAGAAGAAGTTCTACTAATAAGTTTTGAGGCAGCCATGAACTTGGGTTCTGAGAAACATTTTTATGTAACCTCTGGGTAACATAACACTGACAAAAGAAAAGGAAGTTCTTGAGAATGTGATTATTTTGAGCTCACAAATGAAGCCAGATGGAAGAACATTTGCAAAGCAAGTTTTCCTGCATTGTCTCCTTGACATGCTGGGTTGCAGAAATGTTCTGCCATGGTGCTTGGCTAAAGGTTGGCTGACCAAGAGTCCCCATGCCAGATGTATCAATTGTCTGTTCCCATCAGAACTTCCTCCTTTTTCAAGTGACCTCATCCCAAGAGTAGGAAACCAGAAGGCAACATGGCTTGCGGTACAGCTGGTGGTCATATGGGAATTTCAAGATTTTTGCCATTGTACGAAAAGCAAGCATCTTATCTTCCTCAAATTCTCATAAATGGTGTAAAGAGGAAAATGCTAGGAGGTGCTTTTAACTGGAGGCTATTAGAATCTCGAGAAGAACTTGGTCTGGGAGGCATTTGAAGCAAGCATCTGTTTAACTGTATGCAAAAAAACCCCCAAAATGTCAAACTTTAGGCAATGACATTTGGAAAATACTAAATTCTGTGCTTCATTCGTTTTTGTATAAAAGTGTTGTTGCTTTGCTGGGAATTCCCGCTTTAATCTAGATTTAAGTAAACTGGTTCCAGTAGAACTGAGAAGACAGATCTCTTTGGGTTTTTTCCTAGCCAGCTGATCAGCTGTTACCATCTTAGGGAAAACTCAGTTTTTGTAGTACATCAAAAAAGAAAGAACTTTGCAGGAATAGCAGGAATATCTTTGATGTATTTCTACTTGGATCACCATTGGCCTTGACCAGGGGTCTTCAAACCTGACAGCTTTAAGACTTGTGGACTTCAACTCCCAGAATTCCTCCTCCAGTCATGTTAGCTCAGGAATTCTGGGAGTTGAAGTCCACAAGTCTTAAACTTGACCAGTTTGAAGACCCTTGGCCTTGACCATTGAAAACTTAAGCAGCTCGAGCAATGTAACTCAAGGTCGTCTCTTGAACAGGATGAGGAAACTGATCCTGTACACCAGAAGTGGGGAATGATGGCCTCTTTGTGACTGGTGGACTTCAACTCCCAGATTTCCTGAGCTAGCCACGAGCCATAAAAGGGGCCATCATTCCCCATCCCTGCTCTACACAATGCTGCGCTTTAGATTCCAACATCCCTCCCCATTAGGTTTACAGGCTCAGTCTGCTGGGAACTATAGCTCAGCACCTACACTATTAGATCCCACCACCCAGCACACACTTCAATATGTTCCATGTAAGTGTGTGCAGGTTTCTTCATTGCAATATCATGGAAAGCGCCAAGATGGAAAATAACCCACAGTATTAATGTTGGGCTTGTGATCCATCAATCACTTTGTGATGTGATGAGATAATGGTCTTGTGATGCGCCTCCCCATTCCCCCCCCCCACCCCCCACCTCCCAAATAATCCTTATCACTTTCGAATTCAAATATGATTTAGGGGATTTCTGTGCAGAGTTAAAGATTTGGAAGGAGGGTGTGCAGAGATTACTTCTTCTTTACTTAAACGTTCAAGTCATTGGCAAGAAACTTGTAAATCCCCTTTTAATAACTGTCTCTGATGAGATCATCCTTCTTTCCTTATTGATCTGAGTTCAGTTTCCTGGTGGTGTAAGCTTTAATGAAGCATGAAGTGGTTCAGGCAAGGAATGGGTATCCAGACCTAGAGCTTGTAGAATCCAAGGTGGCAATGGACAATATTCTTATTTATGTAAACCAAAAGCAAAACATCTACCAGCTCTTTATATGAGAAATAAGGACACTGGGGAAGGTTGACTGCTGTGTCTGTTATTTCCTTGGGAGAATCTCTTCTGGAATGGTGTGTTAGCTTGGGCTTCTATATGAGACTAATCACTAGCACATTAATGGCCTTGAGTTCTCTACTGTTTGAGTACAACTGTACAAAATCCACCCTTGGTTCAGCAAGATAGGAGGAATTGAGCCACAGTTTATGGCAAGGGTCTTCAATCGTGACAGATTTAAGACTTGTGGACTTCAACTCCCAGAATTCCTCTTCCAGTCATGTTAGCTCAGGAATTCTGGGAGTTGAAGTCCACAAGTCTTAAACTTGCCAAGTTTGAAGACCCTTGGTTTATGGGCTAGCTAGTGACTTAGACTCTGCTGTCTGAACCAGGTGTTGTAATAAGTGTCAGAGACTATGGTGTCAGGTGTAAGAAAGGAGCCAGGATAGAGTTCAACAGCACTATGAGTTTATTCCATGCTATCTATAAACAAGAATCTGATCTACTAATGGTCAAAGCAAACTGGTGACTGATAACAGGCATCAGAGTTTAAGAGGGGCTGGACTTGGGTCTTTTACAGGGACATAATGATTCCAAATTGATGGTGAATTTGATCCCGCCTTCTGAGTCAGCATACTCATCTCCTACATCAGATCAGCATTGAGCTTCCATTTGATTCCTGGCCATTTGAGCTATGGGTTTTTCCCCCCCTTTTCCCCTGTTTGTGTTCAGATTTGATTCTTATTTCTTTCTGTCATTTGGATAGTTTTTTTTCCAGAATTGAAGGTAAATTTTTTTCTTAAATAACATAAAAAGAAGGTACGTTTGGAAAATTATGTCAAAATTAGTAATGTTAAAATGTTAGTAGAGGCAGGACCAAAACGCCATCTGATTGATTTGACTTTAAATGGGATGGATCCCTTTCTTGATGAGCAGGCTAAGATTAAAAGCCATGTTGATGGAAAGATTTAAATTAAAAAATAATTTCAAAATTAGTTTTAAAATTAAATGCTTGCATTAATTCAAAATAAAAGCCGCTATTTTAAATACCCTTATCAACAAATAATTAACACGGTCCTACCCTATGTATTTAGTAAATTTCCTTTCTGTCACATTAATAGTTACAGTAGAGCGTCACTTGGAAAGAAATTTAGTTACACATCTTAAATAACATAAAGGTATTATTATTACTACTAGTACTACTGCTATCCTTACCATTAATCTTGCATTGTTGCAACTCCTAAAGCAGCCTGAAGAGGAGCAATCAGCTGGTAGAAGTTCAACCTCCTCAGCAGATGATACCATATCGCTGGAAAGAAACTCTTCCATTTCTGTTCCTCGGACTTCTGACCTCCTTGGATCCAAGGAGAGGTGCAGCCCAGATGGCAGCTGCTTCAACATGGGGACGAACGGAGAAGGTCAGGATGGGATGGCAGTGATCTCTGGAGAACTGGACGAATTGCTGGATAGCGTCATGGAGGTGTCCCCACCTTCTTCTGGCCTGCCTAACAATTTGAGGCCTTCGTCTCCTTTCCGTCGGCATAGCTGGGGTCCAGGGAAGAATAGTAACAATGGTGAAGCTGAGGTCAACCACAGGAGGTAAGTCAAATAGTTTCTTGGAAGGTGCTGATCATCCACACCTTGAAGAAAGGTGGGGCTTACAAGGTGATAGAAGGAAGGAAATGGGAAGGAGAAGTCAAGTTCCAACCCCAGGATCCAAACGTGAGATCCAAACGTGGGAAACATTGGAGGTTGACCACAGCCAATCTGGCATGCTCTGGTTGTTTGGCTCTCACCTTCATAACATGAACTCCACTCCCATTTGCCCTATCCAATAGCCATGGGGAGTGGGAATTTTGAGTAAACGTGGCCTAAGCTGTTGGTTTCTCACCTAACCTGGAAAGCTCCCGTTTTATGAAGGTAAAAAGCAAAGGGCAAGAAACCAAGCAGGGCCATCCAATCATTCTAGATGATCTTTGGGCTGCTCTGTAGATTGGGAAGTTGGGATCTTGGAGAAACCGGAAGGATTCGGTTCTGTCTTTTGTTTTGCAGTAAGTTAGCATGGTAGCCCTTTTGCAATTTTTTAAGAAGTTAAAAGTTAAGGCGTTCCATCCCTTTTGCCCCTTTGAAGGCAGAGACCTTCTTTTAGCCAAACAACAGAGTATGTCAGCTTCAAATAAGTATTGTTGTTGTCTTTGCTATTGAAAAGGAGGGTGTGTGCTTTTTCTACACTTCAAAAGCAATCTGGGAACCTTTTTGTTCCTTCTTTATTGTTCAGACCAACAAGAGGAGTAAAAGCATTTTATTCTAAAAGTCTATGAGCCATCTAAAAGAGGCAAATAAATGATTGGAAGGAATCTTTGTATCTATGTATGTGTGTGCGTGTGTGTGTGTGTGTGTGTGTGTGTGTATATGTATGTAGGTAGGTATGTAGGTATGCAGGGGTGGGCTTCAAAAATTTTAGCAAAGGGTTCTCTGCCCGGTTGCTGGGTGGGCATGGTCATGGTGGGCGTGGCCTAGTCAGCTTCTTGCACCATGGCCGGGGGGCGGGGTGTTTTGCCCTCCCTGGGCTCCTGAGGCTTTCCTCAAGCCTCCAGGAGGGCGAAAATGGCCTCCTCAGCCTTTGCAGACTCTCTGCAAGTCAGAAACAAGCCCATTTCTGGCCTTCCCGAACTTCCGGGAGGCCTGTTTTTCACCCTCCCCAAGCCTCTGCATGTGCCCTGCACTTACCTGCATCCAAGACAGGCTATGTGGGGACTTCGGGGAGGGGAGGGGGGGGGGGGGGGGGGGGGGGGCAGCCAAAAGTGGGATTTGGGGGTTCTCCCAAAACCCTGCAAACCCCCAGCAGCCCACCTATGTATGTATGTATGTACGTATGTATGCATGCATGCATGCATGTAATTAAAGTTATATGCCACCCATCTCACTATCCAAAGTAACTCAAACAACTCAAGTTGGTGACTATACCTAATATTCCTTCATCTTCCTCTCCCCACCATCACCACAACAGCCCTGTGAGGAAAGTTGGGTTGAAATAGAGAGTGACTGGCCCAAAGTCTCCCAGTTGGCTTTCATGCCTCAGGTGGGACTAGAACTCACACATTCCAGGTTTCTAGCCTGGTTGCTTTAACTACTAGGCAAAACTGGATTCCCCACCCCTCTTTATGGAAAAAAAAACGTGTTACTATGACCTAGAAGGAGTTTTGGATTTTCCTAGGTGTTGTGTGCTCTGTGACAAAAGTTTAAGCAATTATCATGACTCTGGTTATTGTACACAGTGATTCATCTCACCTGTAGTAGGTGTGGGGAAGTGGGGAAGGATGACAGGTTAGAGGTGAAAAAAATCATACTTTGGAGATGACGTGGCTTTCAAGAAAGTTCAGGCAAGTTCTCATCTCGATGACTTGAGACCAAGAAAGAGGAGCATCCCCTGTGCAACATTGTTATGATTTTGGCACAACAACCTTAGCACTTTTCATTGCTATTGGTACAGATAATCTTCAACTTACAACAGTCTGTTTAGTGACTGTTCAAACTTACCATAGCACTGGAAAAAAGGGACTTAACGACTGTTTTTGACACTTAACGATTATTACAGCATCCTCACAGTCACAAAATTCAGATGCTTGGCAATTGACTCATACTTATGACATTTGCAGTGTCTCCAGGTCATGTGATTCCCCCTTTGCCACCTTCCAACAAGCAAAGTCAAAGGGGAAGTCAGATTCGCTTAACAACTGTGTTACTCGCTTAACCACCACGGTGGGGCAAAACTCACTTAACAATGATCTTGCTTAGCAACAGAAATTTGGGTCTAAATTGCCATGGTAAATCAAGGAACTACTTGGATCAGTTATTCATTTTGCATAACCATGGATTGGGCAGGCAGTATAGGAAATGACCTTGGTAAGTCTCCAATGGTGCCAATATGTTTGTGTTGGGCCAGCCAAGGACCATTCAGTTCTTGCTTCTTGGCCATAGATGGCATTGTGAACTTGCAGGCTAAAACTGTTTTTCACACCAAACATTTTTCCCACCCTTCTGCCACCATGTCGTATCTCTCTACTCCTTGTGTTATCACCCCTTCTGTCCTTCACCTTCTGATTCTCCGCCCCCACCCCACCTCCGGTCTCTGTCTGGAGATTTCTGAATGTTTGATGATGTTTCTGATAATTGTCCATGATTCATTTTTTCAGTTCAGTGCGACTGCTGGGGGAAGTCATAAGGAAAACTCCCTCCCACAGAAGAAGGTACAGCAGAGATACACTGAGGCTGACTAACCATGTTGCATTTCAATGGCGACTAACTTCCTGCTTTTGTATTAATCACCGTTCAGTTTAGCCTTCTCCAGTCTGGTTCCTCTAGATGGCTTGGACTTCAGTTCCCATAGTCCCCAACTGGCAGAGATTGGGCTATGATTGCTGAAGGCTATGGGCACAATTGTGCAATCTATTTAAGAGGGAACCAGCCTGGGAAAAGCTAGTTCAGTGCAGTACTCCAACCACAGCTCACTGGGGATCAGTGGAGCATCGGAGGAGCAGGCTTGTCCAAAATATACTTTATTGTTTGAAATGGATGGCTCAGTACTTTTAATATAAAGTGGTAAAATTGATTTATTAAATTATACAGCTGCCCGACTACCATCTCGCTATTTTGGGTAATATATTCAGTGGGCAAAAAAATATGGAGATAAAATTATACCTCTGTAGGATGCACTGAGATGAGGGACAGTTAAATATTTTTCTGATAGAACTCCCATTCTCTTTAACACTCCTTTCCTTTCCTTTCCTTTCCTTTCCTTTCCTTTCCTTTCCTTTC